CACAGCAAGCTTTCTTTGATGCTGACAAGATTGAGTTTTACCGCTTTTAAAGTTTGATGTGAACTGCTTTTTCAGTTAACTTGAGTGACTACTCCTGACTACTAAGCTCCCAAATCATATCCTATTCATTGACATTATCATATATGTGTGTGTGTGTGTGTGTTTCTGAACAAACGTTAATAGTTTCCTCTATGTTTTACTTCAGAGGTGTTTGTGAAATAGACATTCAAAGGTTTATAGTTATGTGTTATCTGGCTTGCCTAGTAACATAATGTTAATCTTAATTAAGGATGAAGACTATGATGCACCATGGCTTTTTGTGTGCTGGTGGGGCCTCTTGTTGTTGTGCTGCTTAAAACCTCCAACTCAACTCCAGAGATCGATTTATGTATAGAACGAAGATGAAACTGTATGTCTTAGATGTTCTGTTCTCCACGTACAGTCAAATGCAGAAGTCTGAACACCCCCGTTAAATTATATTGATTATCATAGCGAAATAAGTTTAAACATCCTCTGCAAAGAACAAACTTAAACAAAGCATTTTTCTGCAAATTTTCATTTGCTTAGTTTAACGTCGTGGGAAATAATAAAACATACAGTATAAAATGTGCCATAACTTTTGAACAGGCCGTGCGTTCTGTTTTATATATTTATTATTTTAATATGTTAAATTTAGCAAGTAAAAGTGGTTGTGCATTAAAATGTGCATCAGTGTATTCACTGATGAGGGAGTGTTAACATAGTTTCACTTAGAAAATCAGCAAAGCATGACATTTCATCAGGGGTGCCCAAACATTTGCATACAACTGTACTCATGGCACACATACTGTGTCAGCATGAAACCCTTAGGTTCATAGTGAGGGCGAGCTTCTATTTTGAAGGACATGTTTTTTTTTCTCCAAGAAAGTAATTGGTACACCCTTGGTAATAAGCCAAATGTTACAGTATGCAAGAATGTACTGCTTTACAGAAAGCCCACCTTTTCTATGTGTGTGTTTGCATATGTGGCTATATATTATGAAGATATGAAGGAAATCTTGTAATCAGTTTATATTTAATAGCAGCTCAGGCTGTTACTGCTTATAATCCTTCGACTCCTCTAATTTTCACGGATTTCAGGAGACAGCAGGTCCAGTGGTGCTAGTTTTATCCATGTTCATCCTCATAAAGAACAGCAACGCTGCACTTAATGTGCTGTTGCCTAGCTGGTCCTCAGAAACTGACTCTTGCCACGCGGTGGGTAATGTTGCCATGACGATACGGGGGATTGTCATACTCAAGGAGTGGTAAAGCAAAACAGCATCAATGGAAGGAAAGGAGTAGAGAGGAAAAGAGTGTGCCTGACAGGCCAGCTGGGGAGCATTTCACTGAAACAGTCTCTATAAGCAAAATATCATAGACCTGTCTGGAAAAGTTGTCCATTAATGCTGGCTGGATTCAACAGAGATGCACTACATATTAAAGTGGAAGCTCAGTGTCCTGTGTTGGGAGATTTCCTCTGACATTCATGGAATATTCTTTTCTTGAACTGTGTCTGCTCTAAATTAAGAAACATGTAGTCACTGTCAGGCCTTATTTTTATTTATTTCGACTACACCTTTCAAAAACAGCTACCCTTTACATTGAGGGAACATTCATGACAAATATACCAGTAGAAATGATCCAAAACTATCAGCTTTAAAGCCAAAGTAATTTCATTTATTTATGGAAACGCCAACCTTCTTGGGTATTAAAGGAGTACTCCTGTGTTTTTTTTAACATAATTCTGTCAGCTCCATCTGTAGAAAAGGCTCAATTACCACAGACAGTAATTTCTCCACGTTTCCTGTACTTGGAAAATAATAGAAAACCAGTTGACTAAAAACATATTTATGTAATAAGCCATTGGACAGTTGCTGAATTCTGTCACTAAATATTTATGCAAACCATTTAAATTAAGCTGTAAATCTGTATAACTCCATCGCTTAGAGATGGGGCTAGTTCTCCAGAGGGAAGGATTTGTGGTAGTGTGTTTCCAGTGTAGAGCTGTGGGTGAAGTTTTCACAACCTCCTCACTGCGGCTATCACAATAGCAGCTAATGGGGATCCTAAAAATAAACAAAATAAACTGACTGCACATGGATAGCAGGGAAACCACGTAGTGACAGCAAAAGCAGAAACATGAATTGATTTTTACTGTGTTGCTTCATCTGAAAGGTAAAGAAGAGCAGCATTTGTAAAAGATTCTCTCATGTAAGTTTCATCATAAAATCTGTACCGTTGGAGTATAATGCTTTCAGTTTTGATTTCATTTTATGTACAGTTTTGTCCCACATATTTATTTATGGAATTCAACAATTGCCCTATGGGTTCTATTGTACAGCCCTGTAAAGTTGGGACGCTGTGCAAAATGTAAATAAAAACACAATACAGTGATGTGCAAATCATTTAAACTATATATTTAAATGAAAATAGTACAATGACAAATCATCAAATGTTGAAACTGAGAAGTTGTATTGTTTTTTGAAAAATATATGCCCAATTTCAATGTGATGCCAGCAACATATTTAGCTGGGAAAGTTTACCGCTATGTTGCATCACCTCTTCTTTTAACACTTTGTAAGTGTTTGGGAACTGAGATGACCAATTGCTGTAGTTTTAAAAGTGAAATGTTTTCCCAATTGTTTGATGTAGACTTCAGCTGAACACCCGTGGGGAAATTACATTTTGTTGATTTTCTAAGTGAAAATAAGTGAACACATCCTCTACAGTGAACAAAACTATTGGAGAAAAAAATAAACATAAAATACGAAATGTGCCACAGTCGTATTTATTCTAGTATGTTTTTAACAAAACATGCAGAAGTGTGTTCTCTGTAGAAGATGTGTTAACTTCACTTAGAAAACTTTGTGTGTTACAATATTTTAAATTATTTACACAACTATAATAGTTATACAACAAGAGAGACTGAAACATGCTTGTGAGAATCAACTGGCAGGGTGGTGTTTTACTGAACTGAAGAAGGGAAGAAAGTGGAAGTTTTTTCTTCAGTATAGGAAGATAGCAGAAGGTGATTCATAGAGGTGTGTGTGTGTGTGTGTGTGTGTGTGTGTGTGTGTGTGTGTGTGAGAGAGAGAGAGAGAGAGAGAGAGAGCCTGTGAGACACCAACGCCATGTGAGTGAATGGCAGACGTGAGAGAAGTGAATGCTGCGCTGTTGCTGGCTGCTGATGTCACATCCCTGCGCTCGATTGCACCTCTTAATGACTGTCGCTGTCTGTAGGCTGCATTAGTGCTGCTCCACCAGAGACTTTCACTTCCTCCTTCAGAGAAACAAGACAGTGGCAGAAACTATCAGAAAATTGTTACTGAGCCTCTGTTTACACACTGCAGAGAATATTCGGAAGTAAATACAAACTGGTATGACGTTGAGACCAAATTTCAAGCAGAAAAATAGTTAAGAGTGTGAGCTTGTCTGCTGCTCTGTGGTTAATGTGTGAGGAGGTGCTTGTTAAAAGCTTGTTAATGTGTGAGGAATATAGGATAAGTTTACTAAATGATAATACTATCAAAAATATTTCCACTGTTCCACCAAACTCTGAATCAGTATGCCTTCATAGTGAGATCATCAGCGTTTCCACCTCTCTCCTTCCACAAGGGGAATTCCACTGATCAAAATCTTTAATCTTTGGGATGTAAACAGTCGTTGTGAACCTACACATGTATTCTGAGGTTTGATATATGTGTTGAATTCCTCTAAAATCTCCCTCACAGAAAGTTACTGTGTGAATTATGTGGTGGAGAAGTACTTGCAGGACACTGTGAGGTTAAATAAAAACATATTTATTTGGATTTACTGCTATTAGCAACAATACATATAAAAAGTCAGAAGACTTATATTTGTGTTGTAGACATTACTCCTGGTTTGGGTAGAAAAACCATTGTAAAGAAATCTGCATTGGTAAGTTCCTCTACAGTGAACCGTTGGACATCAGACCACTTTAAATGACTGTTTACATCACAATAATTGAATTATGCAAAGTTCCCCATTAAGACAATATTTGTGTGATCACTATGTGTCTGAAACGTGTTGTGTGTGTGTGTGTGTGTGTCTAATTTAGGGCTGGGCAATATGACAATATGTTATCATTGTCTTGATAATTACACCATGATGCATGTCACTTAGTGTATTGTGGGTGAGCACCTCTAGAACACCTAACAACTGCAAGTATCATCATTAAAAATATAACAAAATGAAACAAATAATAATGACTGGACATCAGCTAATTATACCATTATTTTATTCATTCATTCACCATAGAACCACAGAAAAACTGTATACTACATATTGTATATCATGAAAATATCTTAGTGCTGTGACGTATCGTCCACTCCTTCTCTACTGTATGGCATTTATTTCTTCCATAGACCCTTGTCACACTACTCTTCCTACTGCTTATGTTAGCATCAACAGCAAAGCTACTACCTCCTACACATTGCCCTCCTATAAATATTTCTACACAGGATAATGTTGCCTGTTTTATGATTCTGTTCATTAGCCTTTGATGACTAAAGAACTAAGATGGTTATGGGTTATTTGTTTGGCTTTGTGAATGTAGATGTAGATGTGCACTCATTTGAGACTGTATAAATAAAAGCTAATCACTGTACCTGAAAACCTGAAACATGAGGTGAAAAAAACTCCAGCTGCCATTATAAACAAAGTCTCTGAGGCTGAAGATGGATTTGAGTATAAATGCTGATTTTCTTTGAATTATGATTAATATATTTGCATAACTCTTTTAGTTTGCCAGTTGTTTGTCAATGAACTGAAGAGATGTTAATAGTATTTACACAAATATTATCTTCCAAACCATTGGGCTTTGAGGACTGCTATAACAATCATGCAGATCAGCAGAAATGCATGCACGTCTCTAAAAAGGTATTCTGTTATTAACATTCTGGCACGTTCTCAATAGTCCTTTTTTCACTAATGTTTTTCTGTCTTTTTTTTTTTTTCAGCTCAACAAGCAACAATTGCAGGCGGTAAAGGAGCGCTTTCAGGCATTCCTGAGAGGAGATACGCAGATTGTAGCCGATGAGGCTTTCTGCAATGCTGTGCGAAGTTACTATGAGGCAAGGCTTTCTAATATTTATTTATTTATTTATTTATTTATTTATTTATTTATTTTACACCTGCCTTCTACTGGAAACACACGTTCTTAATTATCATGCATGTTCAGTCATGGCTAAAATGAATTATAGTCCACGATCCCAGTTCACATTCCATTACTTCTGTCTTTTCTATGCGTATTCTATGCCATTTTCCATTTACCATTTTAATTTTTGTTTCATTGTTTAATGTATTTTAATTATTATTTTAAAAATATATTTCCGTAAAATATACACTGAATTATCAGTTACCAGCCATTAGTATTGCTGTCACTGCTGTGCCAAGTGTGATCCCCCGCCCAAATAATATCTGGTCAGTGGTGGTCTCTTTCCACTAATGGATGTGGTAGAGGGGACTTATAAATTGTGCTGCAAGAGATGGGCTACTGTCAGTAACTGTAACAAAATGCACCTATATGGTAGGTATTTCTGGTATAATGGCCAGTGATATATGAGATGTTAGAAATAGCCAAACACAAGCTAGTTTCAGGCGTATTCAAGTTAAATTGAATGCTTGTGATGCATTTTAATGCCACTTCTAATGTAATTTAAGACCAAATTTGCAGTGATGATACACCAAATATAAAAAACACTCTTGCTGCTATGCTAGCTCAACAGCAGGTATTGTTAGTTTAATGCAGTCCCCTGATACAAAAGCAGCTACCTTCCTTTTCTGGTATAGGAGCAGTACAGCGTGGCCAGCTGAGCAGCATTGCCTGGGGCTATGGGGGTTAGGTGCCTTAGCCAAGGGCACAACCAGAGATACTGATTGCAAGCCTGGGATTTTAACCAAAACCTCCCAGTTATCGGCTCACCTCTACTGCCAGTTGGCTGCCGGCCGCACCTTATTTATTTATTTGTTTAGTTTTACATCAAATGATGCCTGTATCCCAAATTTAGACTTTTAAACTAGAAGTGACACAGCACGAGTGGTAAACCACTGTTTTTGTACATAAGATCACAAACTGTGTGTTGCATGTGTCTGTGCTGCTCACACACTCTGGCTGCATTAGTGACATAAAAACTTGGTGCTGCAATAGCCTATGATATGTCCCAATTGCATGTCATCATGCAGACAGCGTAATCGCTCACAAGTGCAGAGTGTAGGTTGGTTAGCCATTCACTGCCATGAGATTTCTTTTGCATAGCAGGAAAGCATGAGAAAAGATGCAGAAGCTTGAGAGTTATTAAACCCTGCGTAATGAAAAAATGAAGCCTAATACTAAACGAACTTCATATTCCCTCTCACCCTTACCCCTTCATCTTGTGAGATGATGTAAAAACGGTTGAAGTAATTGGCCAAGAAGTTTAATATTCTTTAAGATTTAAACTTTTTTTTACCTGTTGATGCAAGACCTTCTGTGCATGCAAGGCTCTAGGCTGGAGCTTATAGGCTACATGGTTAATCTGGCCATAAGGAGCTTCTTAAGGAGCTTTTGTAATGTTGTATTTTACATAAAGGTTAGTTCAGTTTCTCTTTAATAACACACACACCAAAAGAAATCGGTGTCTGTACTTTCTGCACACTCCATCCGACATACTCTTTTATACATAATTTATTGCTTTTCATATCGTCATTGCAGTATCCTACAACTTTATCCAAAATCGCATTTTATGTCCATATCACGCAGCCCTAGTCCTGTCTTTTCGTATTAAAGTATTTAATATTCCACAACAAAAACAGGGTGTTGGCTATGGCCTCATCTACTTGCTACTGTTTCTTTTGTTCACTCCATAATAGAAAAACATTAGATTCCTAATGTTTCATGTTCACTGGTAAGTTTAGGCGATCATAATTAGATGGCTTTGGAAATTTCCCAAATTATCATCAGAGTGTTCAACAGTTGAGCTGACGCGTGTGTCATTAGTTTAGTGAGTGGTGTCACATATTCCTGCACTTTAACATTCTAAACTAATAAAGGAAACGATGAAGAATCTGCTGTTTTTGGATCAGTGCTAAAGAGCAGTCTCCTCCTTCAGCTCATAGTGCTGGTTTGCTGTACTTAGTAGAAGTATCTGGTAAAGGATTGGAGATCAATGGGCTGTAGTGGTATGTGTGGGATGCTAAACAAGAGCACTTGTGTGCGTCTTCAGCCTTAACTCTCTCTCTCTCTCTCTCTCTAACACTCTCTCTCATTTCTTTCTTTGTTTTTTCTTTATTTGCTCTTCTTCTCTTGAAATCTGCATCAGAACATGCACAGGATAGCATGTAATAAGAGTGCCACATCACATCATATGTCTTTTTTTTTTTTTTTCTTTAGAGAATGGGAAGGACACCATTGAAGTTTTCCCTGATAGTCATTTGTGCAGATATGAGCTGGGTGATCAAAGTCACTCGCATTGTTATGCAGTGGATATCTTACATCTATCAAAGCACTTCATATGCTTTCCTTTTCTGAATGCCAAAAACACACAAGATGTAGAAGTGAGTCACCAGGGAAATGTGTCCAGCCATAGATATTATGATCATAACTTTGAAATATGGAGTTCACATCGCTACATTGGTTTCTCCTAGGTTTGTAAACAGACTGTTGAATTCTAAGTTGTACCAGCTCCTTTGGGGAGTGCATGTGTGTGTTTTCCTTCATTAAAATACAGGAACGTAATAGGCCAGGGTCCTATTTCAAATTTTAGTGTGCGGAAAATGGAAAATCCTACGAGTACAAGAACATAACATTGCACAGGTATGGCTCAGGAATGCAAGTTTCTTGAAGATACTGCTTCCAGGGTCAACATGTTCAAGGAGAAAGGTGTATTTTTTATTCGCCCCCCACCCCAGGTTTTCACTTAATGTTAATGTTCAAAGCCAGTTCCAAGCCATGCAGGCCTATACTGTGGTGGTGTGCATTATGTAGTCTCAGTGAACAGTAAAAATTTGATCTCTGTATACATGCAGTGCACATTATTCAAACAATATTCCAGTCACTAGAGAGCTTGTGCACCATGAAATATACATAAATTTGAAATGTATTGATTTATTTTCTTCTTATTTCACTTATAGGTGATATTTATTGATTCATTCTCTCATTGCGTATTCATGACTGGTATCATGGTTGCATAAAAGCTGATTAATTTCCAGCTAATTAACATTTTGGTGATGGTTGTCACATAAATTTCACACGCTGACAGAAATGTTTTTTTATCCCCTTTTAACACAGTTATGCAAGGGTGGGTAATATTTAATTTAAGAATCCTCTGCTTCCTTGTTCTTAATTACAACAGCTTTCTTACTGCACAGCGGTTCGCCGCGGAAGCGGTTGCATCCATCTATCTATCCATCCGTCCATCCATCCATCCGTCCATCCATCAATCCACAGATCCAATAATCCATTTTGTCTGCATATGTTCTAGAGCTTTATATTGCTGATTGTATTATAATAGCCTGCATGTTATCTAAATATACTGTAATGCATGTATGACAGTGCAGTCTGTAATTAATCTGAAATGGGATTGTACTCCAGCACTTTGGATTTGCATGGAACAGGAACTATGAAGTTAAAGCACAGGATGTTTTAATTTGAGGGTATATATGTCTAAATATGATAAACTATGTAGAAATTACAGATGTCTTCCCATTTTAGGAGACCCAAGGTAAATGGACAGTTGTTGCCCAGCTGTTTCTTGGTGAGCTGTGTGTTGTTTCATCATGAGTTTTGCACAAGAGATCTAAAAAAAGTCTAGTGTTGCCTCTTGATGCAAATTTAGCCATCATATAAATTAGACCATCATAGGCTTGAAATATCAGAGACATAACCAAAAAATAAGGTGTGTAAAAATGAACTTTTTGTATAGTCCTTCAAAACATTTTGGCACACCTCATTTCTTTTTGAAAACAAATTTCTTACACACTTAGAATTATCACTTCGCTGACAGAAGAAAAACAGTGGAAAGATGGTGGAGCATAGTTTATCAAGAGCAGCACATGGATGACCCTGGGCATGACATAGCTAGCTAGTGGAATGAACAGCATGGTTGTCTGTTATTGTCTTGTCTAAAACTGTTGAAACTGTTAGTAAGAACAGCTACAGCGAAATCCCAGACTCTGTGATATAAGTTTAATTAGAAATATCCATTTTTGAAAGGCACATTATTTTCCTCATGTGCAAGTGTGAAAATTGTTCCAACTCTTTCAAACTGGAATTCTTCTGCTGGTTAATGTCTAGCACGTTATTTGGCAAGATGTCAGAACTAGACACCATGGGAACTCCCTTGCCTAGAGAGAAAATCCATTACATTTATTACATTACATACAGTTTTGGTGGTCAATGAGGTCTTACACAATTGTTATGAGTGCCTCTAGATGTTTTAATAATTTTTTGATCTCTAGTTTTGGAAACTACTGTTTTCCCCTTCTTATGTAAATGGATTATTTTATGCATAATCTCCTCAGAAATATATCCTGAAAAATGAATAACTTGCCTTCAATGGCCATTTTGACTAGATTTTAAATAAATGAAGTGTGGTCTTTGACTTTTGCGCAGTATTGTACATGTTAGAAATCCTTTTCTTATTTCTTTAGTATTATATTGGAAGTATTGGATTATTTAAAGCAGAAATCAGTAAATTAATCCGTTATCATTGTAGTTCTTCTTTGCAGCCCTTGTTAAAAAGTAAGAACTTGCTCTTGAGCTTAGCAATAGCAAGCAATCTGGTAGATGGCTTTGGATGACCAGTAAATGCTTCAAATCATGAAGAAAACTCTTTTTAGCTATAGAATAGATCAGGAAAACTCTCCGGGGTGTAGGTTTAGATGTATCAAAGACTGCAGTACAGAGATTAATAAACCTGTATGACCTCAAAGGATTCAGTACAAAATGCAAACCATAGATAAGCAGAGGGGCGAGCTTACAGTTTGCTAAAAAAGTACATAAAAGGCTTTTAGAGTTCTGAGACACAGTCTTACAGACAGATGAGATGAAGGTGAATCTGTACCAGAGTGGTGGAAAGAGGAACATGTGGAGGGG